TATTAATGCTATGAGACTAGGTAAGATACTAAAATCAAATTAAAAGGTAGGATACTAAAATCATGTTTTTACTGTCTTTATTATTCCCTATTTGTTACTTTATTTCGTTAATAATACTGTAATTTTTAGCTATGGAAGAGCGAAGTCACCTGTTACAGGCATTATTTTGCTTACTAGGTGACCTCGATCACTGATCATATAATGTAACTTTAATGTTTGACGAAATAAATTATTTATTATTATTAAGTTCGCCATATGTACTACTTTGTGGATGAAAGTGTAAATAAATAAATATATTCTATAATTATATAATAACCCTTTTTAAAAAGGTTTTATTTAATAAAAATTTTACAACAGTTTCATAGATAGGCTTCGAATATTTTCCAGGCCTTATTTAATTATACCTATGCCTAGGCATTGAATTATATGTACTACGTACGTACGTAGTACATATAACTCAATGTGCCTAGGTGTGTTAATGTTTATATAGTTTACTTATCTGTATAACGTTAGTGTATAATAAAGAAATATTAAAAATTTATATTAAAAATTTATATTAAAAATATTAAATATTAAAAATTAAATATAAAATAGTGGTATGCTGTGAATAAATAAACCGCAACAGCCGTTAGCGCTTCAATAATCATTTTAACCCAGATAAGCCTGAAACTAAAATTTTCTGAAAATTTTGAAAAAAGTTACATTATTTAGTTTATTAGATCTTATGCAACATAAAAAAAATTATGAAAAAAAAATTAAGTGTAAGGCTTTCAGGGAAACAGCCGTCCTATATGTAGGACAGTAGGATAATAAGAGGAAATAAAAGACCATTTATGACAAAACAGAATGTAATTAAAAAGTGTAGTTTATTAGATAACTATTGATTATATTACCCATTGTTATATGTAATTTACTAGATTAACACTATTTATGAATGATATGTTTCAAAACACTTGACACACACTCCAACATCACATTTCTTGCAACGTGTCAAACATTTTTTGTGACATTGACGACAGCGTGTTTGCTTCGATTGAGGAATAACCAGATGATTCATTTGGTCTTTACGACTATCAGCATGTTCATGATGGGAGGGTCGGCTAGGCCCTCTTTTGGCATTTTTTCTGTTTGATTCAATCAAAGCAATTGCTACCCTTCTGCGAAAGCCAAGATGATCCAGTTTTCCATGATTTATTTTATATAACTGCCATGCATTATGTTCGGCAAGATCAATCATGTGTGTGAGCAACGGCATGTACCATTTCTTACCTCGTATACCAATTCGGTAATGTGAAATATTTTCATCAGACCGATCCACTCCTCCCATATATTTGTTATAGATGGACACCTTATGTGGTTCTTCTATGACAATGTTTCTCTTTTCACTTTGTGAGAAGCGTTTGGCAGATTGTTTAGGATTTATTCCTACAGCATTAGAAGCAATACTGAATATATTATTGTCATGCCATTTAGCAATAATGAACGTGTTGTCATGTGTCGTTCTGTAATCGACAGCACCACGTTCCTTTTTTTTCAGTAACTTCGATGTAATCAGAGGACAACTAGATGTCCTGTTTTCTCGAACTGTCCCAGTGCAACGAAGGCCTTTCTTTGTTATCTCTTCCAGCAAGGGCGTCCCAGTAAAAAAATTATCAAAAACTACGTGGTAAGGAAGGTCGAAGCCACGTGAAATCAGCACATCGCAAAAAGTGAGAACAACGCTTGCACCCAGCCCCAATTCTTTATATATTGGATTGCACATAGTTGTAGCACCTTGGTATGGTTCCATCCATAAAACATACCCTAACCGTGTAGCACCAACCCAAGCTTTGAACCCGTACCTAATAGGTTTACCTTTTATGTGCTGTTTGCAGCCATGTCTACCATAGTAGGGGATCATGGCCTCATCTACACTGTAATGCTCTTCAAGAGGAGAAAACTCTAAGAACTTTTTATTTAGAAGTGTAACTAGGGGGCGTACTTTTGTGTATTTGTCTTGCAAATCCAGATTATCATTGACATGAAGGTGGCGAAAAATAAAGTCAAATCTATCCCTAGTCATAGCCGAGCTGATCAATTCATTCTTTGTATCAGGGGAGTTTTCCCAATACATTCTTCTACGGGGGAGCCATGAATAACCACTAACCAACAATATGCCGATGAAACATTTCATATCTTCAGTGGTTATGTCTCCAGGCAAATTCTTTTTGACAGCATATTTATTGCTCTCTGATACCAACAACGAAATAACATCTTCATCTAAGAAGTTTTCAAACCACTCAATTGGGCGCTTATCTTGGCAAGCGCCTTGAACATCTGGCCAATTCACGGGATTTTTTGCCAAGTCCCGTTTTCTCCATGCGTAGGTACGCCTACGTTTAGTTCGACCTGTAGAATCAGAAGGTTCTTCTTCTGTATCACTCACCATAATCTGCCCTTGAATCATTACTTCAGCCGGTTGAAGCAGAATGTTTCGTGGCAAATTATTCAAAGTTACATTATCTTCTTCACCCGAATCTTCGTCAGTGAGACAGTCAGGATCAACAGGAGGAGGTAGAATACATATCAGTCGTTCTCTATAATCTTCTTCATTATCAGAAACATTTTCTAAAGCATCTAAAATTTCATGCGCAGCTAACGGTCTGTAAAGAAAAAGTTGTATTATTGTACTAAAATCATGTATATTATCCTACTGTCCTATATATAGTACGCTAGTATTTGTAACAAGTTATACGTAATTTATTTATATTATTTTGCTAGAATATTTATTTAGTACAAAAGTTAAGGTTATCAACTAGATTTTAACACAGAAAAAAACAACTCACGAGTAAAATATAACTTTTTATACATACCTGTCATTTGCCATGTCTGCAACGCACTTTTATTACACACTTATAAGGTAAAATATAAGGTAAAAACTGTTAAAATAACTGTCTTTTTATTTTTTCTAATAAAGCTGACACGTTTCTTACTGCAAATCATAAGACTAAATAATCTTAGATAAAGAGGGTATTCTGATATTTTTTTTATTTCTACTGTCCTAAATATAGGACAGTAGGCTTATCTGGGTTAATAAATTCGTCCGCACATTGGCCTGAACCGAAGCAAACTGAACGACCTGCCAACGTGTGGAGGCGATCACAAATTCTTGGCCAATATCTTTGCCAACACATTCGCCACTATGTTGGCCAACGTGAAGAGCCGCCATAACAATAATTTGTTGCGATTTGCAAATAAAAACGACGTAAAAGCCATTAGGGTGCATGCATATCAGGCGCGTTTAGAAAGTCGCGTTCGATGAAAGCCGTCAAATCCATTCCTATGATCCCAAATTAAGTCATCTTTAACGTAATTGAAAATTTCGAATCTAACAAGTATTATGCCGACTAAACGCCCGTTTTGCAAGCTCTCTAAGGCCTGTCATAGTCTGCGGGTTGCGTTAAGCCGCCTCCGATGTAGGTTCGCCGCATCCCAAAAAAATCGCTAACTAACCTCACCGTCGCTCCGTTTGCCCCCGTCCGTAGCACAATACAAAACTCACTGTAACACCACACACTTTAGGTTTAAAATCAAATGACGTCCGATCTATGATATCAGTTGTTTCTTTTTTTTTTTTGTAATATGAATACGCGTGGGGTAGCAACGACCCCCGCAGAATATGACAGTCGGCTTGACAATCGAGTAACACTGCGCGAATTTGCAAGGCAACGGTTATTGTTATAAAAAATCCTGAAAACAGTAGCAATTATGGAGTTTGAAATACTTTATAGTTAATTCATGGACAGATGTAGTCATATAGATTTATAGATCAAAAATTACAAGATAAAAATCAATCAATTCATATTAGATAAAAACAAGGTAACAGTAAATTGAGAAACATGCTCTATATACATACATTAATCTTACCAAAAAAAAAACCCGCGTGATGACGGCATAAGAAATCAATCAAATCAATGATGATGATGATGATGATATTCAATAGTATTATCAAGTTTTATTGCTAGCAATATCATGAGCAAGTCATTTATAACCTGTACACGTACACTAGTGCCTTTACAGTATTATATAAGATTATATAATATATAATCTTCCCGTGGTTGTCGTAAGAGGCGACAAAGTGAAAGTGAAACTGAAACAGGAGACAGACAGCAGCATCTTCCTGATAACAACTCGAAATAATAAGAAACCTGCCAAATGCGAGTCGGACTTGCGCATGTAGGGTTCCGTACCATCACACAGGTTTCTAGTAGGGTAGCCCCCTTTAATTTTTAATTTATTTTTATTATTGGTTGTTACATAGACAACAGAAATACACATTCTGTGAAAATTTTCAACTGTCTACCTATTACAGATCATGAGCTACAGCCCGCTGACAGACGGACGGACGGACGGACAGCGGATTCTTAGTAATAGGGTCCCGTTGGTTACCCTTTGAGTACGGAACCCTAAAAACTGCAGTTGCCAACTAGCCTGCCAGGCGTAGCAACTATGGCATATTCCCCCTTTGAGGCCAAGTTTAGCAGTGGAATTTTATAGGCTGAAAATGATGGATGAATATAAGATTAGTTCTTAATTCAACGCATATTTTGACTATATTGTAAGGAAGAAATATTGGTATTTAAGAAATTACGTTGTAGATATGTGTTTATTAATTCATTTGTAGTGACCCGATCATTCAAGCATTGATTTGTCTAACGAAGCGGGTCACTCAGGTCGATCATTCAAATGGATCCTTTAGAGTTTCAGTGCTCTGTGATCAGTGAGACCCTTTCGATAATGTCGGTCGTCGGACACAACTATACTCAATTACACAATTTCACAAAAGTTACAAAAGTAATAAATTCAATTAAAATGTAAAGTTACAAAGAAGTTAAGTTAAGCGTGGATGGTGTCAGACTGTGAGACAGTTCTATTGTTTCCACGGCGATCCTTTCCGCAGCGCAAGCATTCCTTATTTGCCCATTGTTCTGTGAAACTGCTATGTCAGCCCGATTCCAGGGTTACGACACGTTAACTCTTCCCTCCTTAAGTTGGAAGCTGGTTCTGCAGCTTCCAGGAGCGTCCTCGCGACTTGCTTTACTCGATCGCTTATTCCAATTGTATATCTTCCAGATTGTCGACACTAAGTGATCGGGATTGCGTGTAACGATACTCATACTATCGGATTCTGTGTCTGTTAGAGGGGGTTGTACGTTGGGTCTAACTGTCACGTTATTATCGTTGATATTGCTGTTGTCGTCATTATTATCCACGGGCTGTTGTATTCCTTCTGTCTCCGTATCTATCTCTTGTCGTACGTTTTCGAAAATTCTATTTATGATGTCGCCGTCAAAATTGTCATCTAAATTGACTGCTAGTGAATCGATGCTCTTATGATAAATTTTGACTCTGGATAGAGCGTCTGCGTTGGTATTTTGCCGTCCTTTTTTATAAACAACCGTGTAGTCATATTCAGCGAGTTTAAGCCGCCACCTAGTTAATTTAGAATTAGGGTCTTTTAGTGACATTAGCCATGTCAGGGGTCTATGGTCGGTATATATGACAAATTTTCGTCCATAAAGATAAGGCCTAAAGTATTTCACTGCCCAGACGATGGCTAAGAGCTCCTTTTCTATTGTCGAGTATTTCGCTTCTGTATCCGAAAGTGTCCTTGATGCGTATGCTACCGGTTTGTCTGAACCTATTTTTCCTTGGGACAGTACTGCACCAAGGGCTACGTCCGATGCGTCTGTTGTCAGTATGAATGGTTCGTCAAAGTTTGGGTACTGTAGGATAGTTGCATTGGTTAAAATCTGTTTGCAATTATTGAAGGAGTCCAAAAATTCGGAGGAGCGTATAACTTTAATATTTTTCTTAAGACATAAGGTCATTGGTTTCGTAAGCTTGGCAAAGTCTTTTATGAACTTTCTATAGTAGCCTACTAGTCCTAAAAAGCTTTTAATTTCTTTCTGTGTTTTTGGTAGAGGGAAGTTTAAAACCGCTTTAATTTTGTCCTGATTAGGTTTTAGTCCTTGATCAGTTAGTTCATGGCCTAAAAATGTGACGTGTTTTTGAAGGAACTCTGACTTGTCTAACTGAATTTTGAGATTATGTGTTTTAAACCTTTCAAATACTTGTTTCAGTTTTTCTATATGCTCCTGCAATGACGTTGATATTATTATGACGTCATCGAGATAGGTGTAAACGTTGTGAATATCTCTAAGGATGTGGTCCATGAGCCGTTGGAAAGTACTGGGTGCATTTTTTAGGCCAAATGGCATTCGAAGGAATTCGTAATGTCCTCTCTCTGTTGTGAATGCAGTTTTCTCTATGTCATCAGGGTGCATCTCCACCTGATGATAGCCGCTAGCCAGATCTAAGGTCGTAAAATATTGGGCGCGTCCAAGTCTGTCTAAAATGTCATCTATGTTGCGATGTGGGTACTTATCTTCTACTATTCTATCGTTAAGTCTTCGATAGTCTATGACTAACCTCCATTTTACCTTACCTAGTGCGTCCGGTTTTTTAGGGACAATATGAACAGGGCATGACCATGGCGATATACTTTCGCGAATAATACCTTGTTTTAAAAGATTGTCTACTTGATTCTGTATTTTTTTTGCGTTGTTGTGGGGCTTGTCTATAACTTCTTACAAATATCGGAGTCTGGTCGGTCAGTCTTAACTGATGTTTAACTGCATGTGTAAAAGAAAGTGGGATATTTTCAGAGTGGAAGATGTCTCTATACTGATAGCAAATCTTAGTGATTTCGCGTTTCTCCTCTTTATTCATATGGTCTGTACGTATTTTATTTTATTTGTTGCGTAATTCTTTCTCTATATCCGAGTTAACCTCTATGGAATTTAAACTGCATCTAGATCTATCAGAGTTCTCACGGTATGGTTCTAGGTATATCTTTTCATTATTAGAAATTATTCGTTTTTCTGAATTAAAGTTTATAATAGATGTTCTAAATTTTCCCTCTTTGACCTCGACCATAGCAGCGGGAGATTGTAAGCCGTTAGACCATATGAAATCATCGTGAATGTACTGACCGTCAGAATAATTAGTTTTCACTAGTATAATTTTTTCGCATTTTGGTTCAATCTTGAGTTTTTTACTGGGATAGTCAAATGAAATTGGTATCTGCGAGTTAGCGGTATGTAAAAGTCTATTTTTTATATCTATGTTACACGATAGCGTCCTCAATAAATCCGATCCTATTAAGCCTTTATATTTGGGGTCGAAATCGAATATAAGGAACTTATGAATTATATCGCTGTTAAACGCGTGTTGTGCTGTTTTTACCTCGAATGGTTCATACTCTACAAGGTGTTCGAAAATTGTGTTTTGTATTACACTAGGTGATATCATAGAGCGCGAGGCTCCGGTGTCTATAAGGAACTTACCTTGAAATTCTGACAGCTCAATATATGGAAGGTGGTCTTTATCATGGTTATTTAGTTTTACTAACTTTGGTCTGAGGGCACTGGACCTTGGTAAAAATCCTGCTGAACCTCACAGTCGTCCATTGGAGGTTCGTATACCTGTTGGTTGTAGTTGTCACTACAGTATGCATACTGACCTTGTTGATGCACGTAGTCCGTGTCGTCCTCGCCATATTGTTGTTCCTATGGTTGTCCAGGTGGGCCTGTGTAGAATAGCTCCTCAGCTGCAAACTGTGGTTTTTGAGGCTTAGAGACGGATCTCATTGTGACGTCTGAAACCTTCTGTGCAGGAGCTTGTTGCTGGGGTATATTATTCCTAAAATTTCCTGAAGATTCCTGATGATGGGCGGTTCTTCCTTGGCAACATGGTTTGCACCCACTGCTGCCTCTGTTCTGGAGTCAAATTATTTTGTCGCAGAACTGGAGCTTTATTACTCGTCTGGTTTTGAATGGGGCCTGAGTTACCAAACCTAAGCGGTAGGGAATTTTGAGGATGATTTATAGCCTTCTCTAAACTTTGCCTGAGCCGATGTTGATGGTGCACTATAATTATTATTATTGAATGTCTTATTAAAGGAAAGTTTCGCTTCCTCTTGTTTCGCTATTACTATGGCTGATTCTGATGTGGTGGGTTGTGCTATTCGCACCGCTATAGAAACTTTGAAATCTAAATTACTCGTGTATTGTTCTATTACCATGTTTTCGTAGTACGATTTATTGGTATGTGTGCCTACAGAAAATAGGGTATCTAGTATTTCTCGAAGTCGCCTACCAAGTGTCTCGGCGTCCTCGTTTCTGTTGCGCCGCACCCTACTAAGCTCTTGCATAACCTGGATTTCATTCCTAGGTTGCCTTAATCTACGTACGAGCGCATCTTTAATAGTTTCCCAAGAATTAAGAGTTTCTTGGTATGCTATCGCATCAATCGCGGTACCGCTTAATCTACTCTTTATGAGACATATAATTGCCGGATGTACCCTGGCAGTATCGTCCAAAAGATTAAGAATATTTTCAATTTCTCTGATATAATAGTTTAATCTCTTTGTATTGCCATCGTACCTTGGTATCAATTCCGCGATCATCTTAAAGTTGGCTGCCTCACCGTTAGGAAAAGCCATTTTTAAATTAATAATAAAAAAACACGTTATAAGTTAAAATAGTTGGGCAATTTGTATCTGCCTATTTGCGATTTTAGCTATAAGACGTATACACTACCGGACTTCAACTAAGAGTCTGCAGCGATTTTTAGCTGTTAGACTTATATCCTATAATAGCTAATAGAAATCTATAAAGATTTGAGCTAAAAGACGAATACCTAATCTCCTAACTAAATGTCGATAGCGATTTAGCTTCTAGACAGAATCACATATACTACTTAAAGTAAATACGGAAGGAAATAAAGCAAAGGGAACTTGAAATAGCGAGAGTACTCACCAAAGCACCTTCTGCATCTCCTCACGGGTATGAGTCAGCTCCACTTGGTCTTCGTCCGTGCCGCCGTCGTAGATTCGAAGTCGCGATTTATACGATCGAAACCGTTCAATTGGTCGAAGGTTCTACCAATTGTCGCGAAAGACCGACTGCGCCAGTTACGATATGGCGGCGATCAAAAGACTTTTTAAAAAGAATAAAATTAATTTAATTTCACAAAAGTTACAAAAGTAATAAATTCAATTAAAATGTAAAGTTACAAACAAGTTAAGTTAAGCGTGGATGGTGTCAGACTGTGAGACAGTTCTATTGTTTCCACGGCGATCCTTTCCGCAGCGCAAGCATTCCTCATTTGCCCATTGTTCTGTGAAACTGCTATGTCAGCCTGATTCCAGGGTTACGACACGTTAACTCGATGCGTGCATATAAAATTTAAATCAGATGCGTGCAATCACTCTGGGAGCTCGTAGCAAACTGAACATGCGGACGCGGCGGCCAATACTCTGCCACAACCCTTTGATCTTTTGTAAAAAATCGACACCAGACGGATCTCGCGCCAACTTGTGGGCCATCGTTCCAATACGTACCAACGTAGCTTAAACACCCGCTCTACACGATGGCCATCGTTGTTGGCCAACACATTCGCCAGTGTGTTGGCCAACGTGAAGAGCCGCCTTTAGAGAGAGGCGCCAATTTAGTTGTTAATAGTAAACCATTAACAACTAGAATTTAGGTTTATATTTGACTAATTTTCATTTTCTCATCTGTTGTTTGTTGACAAATAAAATTTTATATAAGTCCCTGTAATGGTGGTATAGACAAAAATTGGTTGCTTTAGTTAATTAATAATGATTATTAACATTTGTCTTTTAAAAATCTAACAACAATAATAACTAATTTACTAAGTAACTTTTTAATATATGTAATTCTCTATCTTGACGTTTTGTTGATCTTGATCATATTTGACGGATTGTTAAAAGTATTATTAGTAAAATGGCAACGTTTTAAATATGACTTCAAAATATTTCTTAACTTTTCGAAAGTCTACTCTCCGATGCAGGTTCGCTATACTTATGCCTAAATATTACTAATATAATTATACATTCATTCTTCGCTTATCTCCGTTTGTCCCTCCACAGAAACAATCGGATCAATCCACGGAGAAGGAGAAGAAACAGCCCACTCCCCCTCCAGATCAGTGGGCGGAGATTCTTGGAATACCTGGGGAGGAGGATTCGAAAGAGTCCAAATCAACAAAAACTTCAAAGAATAAGCGAGACGCATCGTCAGAAAAGTCCGAGGAGTCGAAATCTACGACTCCAGAAAAGGAGGAGAAGGAGGTGCGCTCACCGAAACAGCTCATATCCTCCAAGAAAGAGTTTCCTACGCCCGAGAAAAAATCCCCCATCAAATCTCCGCCGAAGAAGAGAAAAACAGAGTTCAAATCGCCTGAACCAGAGGAGACCACCAAGAAATCTAAGAAGACTGAGAAAGCCGCCAAGACGGAGAAGAACAAGCGTAAAAAGTCCGAAAAGGTTTAGTGTTTACTTAATGTGTTTTTCAAACACTGATCTCTGGCAAAGCGCTAAGTTTGCAAGCGCTGTGGACATTTAGGGAAACAACATTTCATTGTTTTTATATCCCTTCTTGTAAATGCGGGTAGGAGGATTTTTTGTTGTTTGTGTTCAAACTTTTACGAAAACAACATATTTTTAAATTAAATGTTTAATATTCTGTAAATTGTTGTTTGTCATATATACAGTACAGATGTCTCGTAATCGAGATATATACTTCGTTTGTAAGTTCCGGAGACTAAGTTGACAACTACAAAATGTCACACATGAAAATGATGTGTTTTTATTTTTATTTATTGTGTCATTGGCTATAAGGCCTTTCGCCAAAAAATAATAAATTAAATGCTGTAATATATTGTCCAGTATATAAAAAAATTTCACATTGCAAAGTATTTGATTTTCGAATTCCCGCCAAAACTATAGTGAACTGTTTATTAGCGTAGTGCGATCCATTTGGTTCCGGTTATTTGAGTAAAAAATTGAAAAAAATCTTGTATAATGCGTAAATTGAAGGTATTAAATACTACATTGGTTGCACTAAATATAATTAATTATATGATTACTTAATGCACATAATATGATTACAATTTTATTAAAAACAGACATTTTGCTAGTCCCATTACAGACGCCATTTTGTTTTATATATTATGCTTGTCTATTAGTTCTCGTCAGTATTTAAAAAACTGTATATGAACAACACATAATACAGCTTTTCGATTTATTCTAATTATTATTGGACATAACTATTATTTTAGTCTTCGGAATGCATAAATAGGGTATACTAATGGCGGGAAATTCTAACTACCCGCAAAATTATTTATATTATACATAATCAACTCAATAAGTGGAATGTTTCATGTAATTTATGATTATAAATGGTAATTTAAAATTCGTGGTGTCGAGTGACAAAATTTGACCAATATGCACAAAGGTTTGACAACTTTAACTACTTTAATCACCGGAAACGGGGATAATATGGTAATGTAATAGTTGGCACGGTTGCTACGCGTATTGGTAATTTCAGTTTTTTTCTTATTGAGTTATCAGGAAGATGCTGCTGCCAATGTCCTGTTTCAGTTTACCTCTGTTGCCTCTTACGGCACCCACGTATTGATATGGGATAGTTGATTCTCTTACACCGCCACTTTAAGGAAATTCTGTAGCACCGTTCGCCATTAAATGGCACCGCCATGTTGTCAACTTAAGCAAATAAGTAAAGTTTTGTTACTCGTCTTTATTAAAAAACTCCTTCATCAACTTATTGGACCTTGTAAATATATTGAACAGAATTCTATGTAACATATGGCGGACTCCATTTTGATGTGTTTGTATTTCATGTATTTATAATATTGAAGTTTTTTATTGTTATTTAGTTGAGTTTGAAAATTCGAAATGCTGTGGAATTGGTAAAGAATAGATTCGGGAGGGGAAGCGGAAAAAATGCTTTTGTGTTTAAAAAATATAGAGGAGAACTTATGATGAGATATTATGTGCATTCGAGCGCGTATTTGTTTGCATGGGTGTGGCTATAAACGTGAGAGTTTTTGTATGTGAGTGTGAATCTTGTGTCCCATACATTTGTGTAAATTGTGAAAATTTTAAATGGAATTGGAATGGTGCTTTTAATATAAATGGCACAGTTTCATTTTTATAAATTTAGCGCGTCATTAAGTGCGTGTTGTATGATTATGAATTAATCCAATATTCTCCCCTCCCCAACCGACCGAATTCTTCGACCGACCAAAAGTAACACGCAATATATGTGTCGAATATAAACTGTTTTTCCTATTATTAAAAAAAAACCTTTGTAAATAACGGAACAGTTTCGGCCAATTTTTTTTTTTCGTAATATGCAATGTTTGAGAATGGGATGCATAGCAAAAATGTATTTCCGTGTTCTGTTAATATAATTTTTAAGTATTGCATATTTTAACAGCGTATCCTATCGATTGCAATTATAAATGTCAAATATTAATTATGTGGAATTAGTTTTCGGTTTTATTCGATTTAGTTTGTGTATATAGGCTGTTGACATTTCACTAAATGTGCGTCAAACGTTTAAAAAAAACTATTGAATTTGTAAAATAGATTATAGACCAGAAAATTGTAATGTAATTATGAAATTCCTAAAATCTGCTTTTAAAACTGAAGTTAACAGATCACAAAAAACATATATCTATAGGTGTTACAAATTGAATCGCGAAAATCCTAGGACTATATCAAAGTAATCATTCGATGTTTGATATTCGTAACATCTTCGACTAATATATTATATTAAAAACGTTCAAGGGGCCACTCCAGCGGCGACTTAACCTAATGACAACGGTACCTAGTTTTAGCGAGGGCTATTCAACAATGTATAATTTATTTATGTTAAACACCTCTATAATACAAGAGAAAAATTAGTTTGTTGTAAACGTAACGTACGTTTAATCAGCGGTAGAGCCACGCGGCAGCTTTTGCTGTCGCATGGATGGGCCGGCTCGAACCGGGGTGGTACCACGACCTCACAGAATACCAGCGTGAAGTAGAGGTTTACCTCTGCGTTTCGCTTGGTGAGTGCAGGTGGCCGGAGGCCCTTTTTACTGGAAATGAGGCATTCCATCTTAGTCCTCACGGGTGACAACGCATCTACATTTTGATTTGTAACAGAGGATAGATGTAGATGTCTATGGGCCGCAGCAACCACTTACCATCAGGTGGACTGTGTGCTCGTTTGTCACCCTTATCCTATAAAAAAAAAGTTTATTGACTTAAAAATTGTGTTTAACTTTAGGAATTAATTACAATTAGGCCGGTTTTAGAGTCGCGCTGTTCGTCAGCGCTGACAGGGCAATATGTATGATTGCCTAAGGAGCGTTTTAGAATAACACCGACCGCTCAGCGCTGATGACCGTCAGCGGCGAGCCGTATACGACCGTACGCGCTACCAAGCTCTGTTATCATTACTGTGTCAAGAAAAACGCACGCGCCGATGAATACAGAAGATTGTAAAATAAGTTGCGATATTGATACCGGACGTGTGATTGAAGAAGTTCAACTGCGAAAATGTTTGTGGGAGGCCAGTGACCAATTGTATAAAAACAAACATCCACTATTGAAGGCCTGGAGCGACATAGTAGTCGCACTGTTTGAGGATGTGCAGGAAAATGAAATAAAAGATTTGGGTAAAAAAAAAATTCTTTTTCCAAATTTTCTTTTTCCAAAACAAATACACGGCAGTAACTTCCCTTGGGATAGAATTTGAATGGGATTGCCCATGTCTCTACTTCACAGTGGTCAGCATAACACTAAAACGAGTTCCCACTGACAGCTACGCGCTGAGCTGTCAGCGTTGACGATCAACGCGACTCTAAAACCGGCTTAACGAAATTTCAACATTTGTGTCTAAGTTAGATTAAGTTTTGTCGGACCAGACATTAAATTGATTAAGTACAGTTAAGTACGTTATATTTTCTTATTCAGATAACATTTGTAAATAATGAGTATCGTGTTATTTGAACCGGGATAATAACTGTGAATAAAATATATATGTTGTATTGAGGTGTGAGTTTCATTTTTTTTACTTATGTGGTAGAGCCGCTCTGCAGATATATTATGGTTGTAGCACGAATGAGTCTGCTCTAACGGTGAAGGAACACGATCTCACAGAATGCCGGCGTAAAATAGCAGCTTAATGCTGCTGTGTTTCGTATGGTAAAAGTAGAGAACATTTTTACTGAAAACGAAGCATTCTATCTTCAGGGGTCTTCAGGGGTGACAACGCATCTGCATTTTGATTTTTAATCGAGGATAATGTAGATGTATTTGGGCCATAGCATCCACGACAGGGGAAGGACCACGCTATTACAGAAATAGCAGCTTCATGCTAATGTGTTTCCTATGGTGAGTAAAGGGAACCGGATACTCTTTTTACTGCTATCGAGGCACAACCTAGTTCTAAGCGGTGACAACTGTATTTCGATTCTGAATCGAGGATAGATGTAAATATCAATGAACCTCAGCATCCACTATCAGTTGGATTGTGTGCTCACTTATTTTATCTATTTATATAATGCACTAAAAACAGACAAACTTATTTAAAACGCAACTTCACAATTAAATGATATTGTGTAACAAAAAACTTTACCTCAGTCCTAAATACGTGGTAGAGCCATGCTGCAGCTATATTATGGTTGTAGCACGAATGGGTCGGCTCGACCGGGGAAGGACCACGCTGTCACAGAAAACCAGCGTAAAATAGCAGCTTAACGCTGATGTATTTCGTATGGTGACTGTAGAGAACCGGAGACCCTTTTTACTGGCAAAAAGGCATTCCATCTTAGTCCTCACGGGTGACAACGCATCTGCATCTTGAGTCTTTATTGAGGATAGATGTAGATGTCTATGTGTCACAGTAACCACTTACCATCAGGTGGACTGTGTGCTCGTTTGTCACCCGATCCTATAAAAAAAAAATAGCGACATGTGGTGAGCAGTCAGTCATTAGCCCTCATTCCCCCGGTGTTGCAGTTGTTCATGGGCGGCGGTCGTCCATTCACATAAGATGAGCCGCATGCTCGTTTCCCCCCTCCTATATGAAAAAACACGACCTTCACCACTTATCCCACCACCATTACTCCCAACAACACTGCAATAGAAAATACACACCACCGGCGGCAATAGTTTAAAAGTAATGTCTCGTTTAGTAGCGAAATACGTGTATTATTGAGTAATGTGTTTTTCTTGGCGATAGTGCACGCAATTGAGGAAGGGCGGGAAGGTGCTCTTGAAACTAGGTAAGACACATCATTTTATGTTTTACGCAGATTTTAGCTAATTAATTTTTGACATCTTTAATAGGAGGGTTGATTCTATTATTTCCCAGAGGTTAAGTAATATAGATAATACTAGTACCTCTGGGCAAGAGTAGTTATAGAGAGGCTTGCTGTGTAACATTCCATCTTAATTTTCAGAGGTGACATTCT